CCTCGAGACCAAACATCCACAGTCCGCCTGCCCGAAAAGCTCAAGAGAGGGACAATACGGATGTGTATGGATGATACGGAAGAAAAAACGAACATGAGCTGGGAGGGAATCCATGTGAACATAATCAGTAGCAAGTATGGATTCACACCTGGTTCGGACGTCGTGCTTGGGTGAGTTCCGGGTTGCAACCACCCAAAACACTGTTTGCTTGCGGCAATTGAGGAAACACACCGCTTCGCCAGAAACACGCTGCGTTCCCAGAAACACACCGCCAGTTCCTTTTAGCAAGCTTCACAAAGCAAGACTGCGCACTGACATGGGCAAACATGCCGCAAACGCAGGCAAACACCGCAAACAAGCGGCAAACATGAGCAAGCGCGCTGCATCCTGAACACTTTGTTTCGAGTTGAGATCCAGACCTCCGAGTTGAATCGAAATGCCGCAATCCCAGAAACACGCGGCATTTCTTCAAACCTGTTTTACCTGAGCGGCGTCGAAGTTTCCATGCCAGTATGAATGCAGTATGAATCGCTACGCTTGGCGAACTGAGCCGTTGGAAGCCCATCTATACAAGCCGGGAGTGCCCCCTTGGACCCACCTTTTCTTAGCCTTCTCTTTCAACTTGCCTACAAACGACGTGATCTCAACAGCTGCTCCGTCCCATGCGTGCTGGCACAAACACCAATGACCAATGCTTCAACCCCGGGGAATCCCGGGGATGACAACTGCATTGGCATGTGTGCCAGCTAGGGGGGACTGTTTGAAGGTTTGGTCGATGTTGTGCGCATCCACAAAACCTGTGGACGCATGTTATGGGGCCTGTGAAATGCAGCCAAAACTGCCAAAGGCATCCATTGATACGAAGTCTTGATTTCTGCTCGTGTTGGAGAAAGTGCTCGTTTTGATAAAAAGTGTTCGAGATGTTTTGGGGGCACCATACTGATGGATATGCAGTGCTAGTTCCATCCCAACTATCCTCAACTCCCAGCAGCAGGCACTTTCCCACATGCACAAGCGTGCACATACACTTCAGCTTGCCTCTAGCCGGATTTCTTTGAAATGGGTCCGGTTCTCAGGCATCTGGATTCAAAGTGACGGCGATAACTCATGAGCCCACGAGTCATGCATCGCCATACTACCAGGTTCCCTGCATTGCATCTCCTGGCCAGTCGGCACAGTCGGCCAACATAATCCTCGTCGGACCAACAGGCCCAGCCTGAGTCCAAAGGGTTAAGAAAGACATATAACGAACTTGCACGGTACATCAGTCATGGTCAATCAACATTATAGCCATCTAGGTACATAGGGGATTCAGGATATAAGGAGGACAGTCACCTTCCACTTGTTCTTGAATCCATTTCCTAAGCTCAAGATTCAAACAGCATCCAGGACTGCTAGGGATTGCTATAGGGTACATTGCTAAAAGGTCTTCAGAAACAAAGTTTCGGGATGTGCACAAAAAGGTGCAACTTTGGACGGATCTTGAATAAGGGCCATTTGCGCTCCCAGCTCATAGTAGCTAAAGCAGCGAATCCTTCCTGAGCAACTACAACCCAACCATTCCACCATGCACTGTAAAATCATAAAATGGGATTCATGCAAGATGATTCGATGACATTCTTTTCCCAAGAATCTGCAGCATCAAACCCATGCTTCACAACTGCTCTGGCTGTTGACGGGGTCAT